TATTTACAAAGTAAAACCAAAAAAAATACAAAAATATCATCTTAGACACATTCAATTTTGTCTTTCTATTTTTGTTTTATATAACATAAGAATAATATACAAATTGTATAACAGAATATACACATGTATACAATCATATACTCGTACATAATAATTATTATGTATTTGTGTGTCAGTCAGTTTGTAATGTATAAAAATTTTATAATTTCTTCAAGGATTATTGAAAAATATAATAATAAAAAAATTTTTTTTTGTAAATTATAATTGGTCATCCCAATTCAAGGATATTAAAAAAAAAAAAAACCAAAAATATTCAAAAATAAGTAATCTATTTTTAAAGAACTTTTATATATTTTTAAAGAATTTCTCTTCTCTTAAACTGTTATATTATAAAAGAAATGTGCTTGTTTAATACTCACGCGACAATAGTTTGCATTAATACTACATAATCGATTATAAATATTCGATAATATTGTGGTATTATTTGGACTGCTTTTAAAAGTCAGCTTTATAATGATACGAGTTCTGTTTGTGATTTAATCTTGATGAATTTCATGTAAAAACGCTCTCAAATTTTGAAATTAATTGTGTTATTATATGCCAATACGGTTTTATTATGAGGAAATTTAACAATAGTTAATAAAATAGCTTAATTTCCCCTGTTATACATTGACCACATAATTCTTTAAAATTTTGTTGCTATCAATCTTATTCTTTAAAAATATTATGTTTAATTAGGAAATATAGTAGTATTGCCATTGCGATCTAAAATAATTTAAGCAATAATATAACAGTTTTTTAATATATTATTACATATATATGTATATAACAGTTTTATTAAATATTATATCCGTATACAAATAATTGTATAATTTACTTCTTTAATAACTAAAAAAATTTAAAAAAAATTTTTTACCGTGTACACACGAATAATAATTATAATAAGAAGTTTTTGGTCAAAATTAAACAACAGCCAGATTACAGCTGAAATATTTTAAAACTCAGCAATTCACAAATCAATAATTCACAATATTGAGTCATCCTTATCTTAAAGTCTCTCCTAACATATATAAAAAATTATGTTGAACTCTATAAGGAATGCGTTCTATAAAATTGTTCTATACAATTGTAAATTAATCTATTATTCTTTTTTCAGACTCACAAATAAAACCCCAAATTAAATATACCCTTTAAAGAATATTGTGGGTTCATGCAATTTTTTATAAGGACAACCTCAAATAAACAAAGTATCCTTAAAATTATTATGTAGCAGCTATTTTCTTTCGTTTCTTATTCTTTAACTAGAATAAAAACCAAATTGATTGCCTCCATCACATTTTCTGAATTTTAATTTAAAAACAAAAAGTTTTCGTTCTTTTTTTTTGGATTCTTTAATTTGTTTATTTATACATCATTGTTGACGCAATGACATCCGATTTATGATTCTTAAATTTTCTCATTCTTCAATAGAAATAAAATGAAAATTTGCATTATTATTCTGTAAGATTTTCTAGATTATGTCCTAAATACTTAATATTGTAGAGCAAAAAATAAAAAGTTTGGTAAAACAGAGAGAATTTAAAATTTTAGACTTTTCGTTCCACTTTTTTTTTGTTTAACTTAAAGTTTTACAACAAAATTTTTATTATATCTAAATTTAGAATAAAATTTTTCCCAACTAAATTGTTTGACTTAATTGAACACAGAAAAAAATATTTTTTTTTTATTGTTTTAACTTTAATTTTCTTTATATCAACCATTTTGAAAAAAGGAGATCGTTCTGGTTTTTGTAAACATTCCAAATGTTGGAATAAATGAGGAAAAGCAATAATTTTATTTTTAAGCAAAACGCTGAATAATGATTTTCCAGAACTCTATTGTAAAAAATATTTTATTTTTTAAGTATAAAAGAAAATTTTTCAATTAAAATGCCGCTGACATTTTACTTTTAATTTTTCGGCTAAAAAATGAAATTGTGGCCATAATTTCAAATGTCATTATTCTATAGAAGAATTAATTAATAATTTAATTTTTTATATTAAGAAAGAATGTTCCGCATTAAATACACATATATTTGCATAGTGTACAATGGTCTATAAAATATATTTGCATAGTGTTTGAAATGCGATACAGTGACCTTAAAAGTTAAACAACAGCTGCTAAAATATTTGAATTGAAAGTTTAAATCAAATTAGTTTATATAATAGTTTTGTAGGAGAGTCCTCTGAAAGAATACTCTTTCATTTATATACTACTTTACTATGTCACATAAATGACTCAATAAATTGATGAGTCTTATTTAACCTCACCACATAATAGCACATTATAATTTGAATAATTTTTGCACATAATAATTTGAATCGTAAATGAGGTAGCCGCCGACATCGAGAGTCGGAAGTCAAAGAGTCGAAGTAAGGTAGTTAGAGACAAATAGTTGAAAAGAAAGATTCAGAGTTGAAGACCTCGAGTTAAAGAGTCGGAGTAAAAAAATTAGAGTCAAGGATTTTGTGTAAAGAAACGCAGTCAAAGAGGTGTAGTGAAAGGTATGGAGTCAAGCAGTTGGTGCTAGAAAGCCGGAGTCAAAGAGTCAGAGTCAAAGAGTCGGAGTAAAAAAATTAGAGTCAAGGATTTTGTGTAAAGAAACGCAGTCAAAGAGGTGTAGTGAAAGGTATGGAGTCAAGCAGTTGGTGCTAGAAAGCCGGAGTCAAAGAGTCAGAGAGTCGGAGTCAAAAAGTTAGAGTCGAGGAGTCAGTGTAAAGAAGGACAATTCAAAGAGTCGAAGTTAAAGAGTCAGAGTTAAAGAGTCGGAGTCAAAGATTCGGAACCAGAGATTCGAAGTCAACGAGTTAGTCAGAGTAAAAAAAATTAGAATCAAGGAGTTTGTGTCAAAAAATTTAAGTCAAGAAACCGGAAGGAAAAAATTAGAGGCCAAGAGATAGAGTGGAAGAATCGAAGTGATGAAGTCGAAACAAAGGAGACATATTGTCGAAGATTAGGGTTTCGTGTTTGTCAATTGAAGTTTTAAGGTATAAAACCTGTGTAACTGACTCTGTGTTCCTGTTTTCAATAGCAGTTACATTTACAATATTTATAATATTTAAATAAAGACTTCTACTATCAAAATTCTCTTAAATTCCTTTTCGTATATAAAAGATGTTTTATACGGTTTCGTATTAAATTTCTGAAAAAGAAATTTAATTTTTAATTTTAACGTTATTCTCACTCTTTTTTTATTTATCTTTAAAAAAAATAAATTTAAAAAAGAAAGTTCCAATATTATTTTTATCTAATCCTTATTTTAACTTTTAAAATATCCTGTATGGTTTCCTTTAACTTTTCCTTTGATATTTTATATATTTTTCGTCTATTTTTTTTTATCTTTTTTGGTTGATTTTCCTACTCATTATACAATTTTATATTCTTGTCTTCTTCTTGATTTAAGTCCAGACAAAATGCAAATATTAACTTAATTTTTCCATTTATTCTCCTCTATATTGTGTGCATAGTATTAAAGGAGTGTATATAATATAACTTCGATACTATATACTGAATACATGTATATATACGATGTATTTTTAAAAGGAAAAGGATATCAGCTATAAGGATAAATAAAATTAATATTTAATCCATATAAGAATATATTGGTTAAAATTAAGACTATTGGCCAGATATATTGTATCATATAAAAGTATACAATGTAGAAACCAAACCAATATATTTAATTTAAAATGTTATACAAGGATAAAATCCTATAATATAACAAAATTTTTTAATTCTTATAATAGTGCACTTAAACTACAAAATTATGAATAATTTTGTATATAAACACTAAACTAATAATATTAACTTTTAAAAACTTATTTATATAGTAAATCTTAAATATTTTTTCAAGCAACATACGCTTATATACTTATATAATAGATAACATAGGGTAAAATATTCATTTATATATACAAAAATTTCGATTATCGGTGAATAAACTTTTGTTCACGAGTAATAAGTTTTTTTTTTATACAAAATTTTGTTTACTCTTTTTTTTCATATGATTTAGAATCAAGTGTCATAAATTAATGTACACTGTATATAATTATGTTGATATAATAGTACAGATAAGAAATAAGTATTTATAAGCACGTAGACAATAAATAAAGTAAAAAAAAATAATAAAATTCATGACGTCTATTATATCAAAAATTGTGAGCGGAACCCATATAGTCCCATTTTTGTTATTTTTCCCTTAAATTCTATAAAAGAAATTTATAAATAACTTTTAATGCCTATTATTATTTACTTAATGGTTGACAATATTATTGACAATACTTTTGCATTTCAAAAAAAAAACAGGTCTAAAATAGGTCTGTTCTATTTGTTTTTATCGCAATTTTAATCAAGCGATGCCATTATTGCTATTTGAAATATTTGAGTATTATGGCAACAATTTGGTTGTCATAGTGTTAGAAATTTGCATTAACAAAAATTTTTTTCACTATAGCTATTAGATTTTTTTTTTGAAGAAAATTTTGAGGAATGACAAAATTTATAAAAAAAAATTTTTCCAAGTATAAAATCAGATTCACATATCATCCCTACGAATACCGTTACCTATGCTAAATTTTACTTATAAAACCAATAGGCTTCCTTTTCCTTCTCCTCATTATTTAGTGCAGCAGTGTAGTGTGAAGTGACACTAGTTATAGTAATTCTAATATAATAATTGATTTTATAATAATTACTTTTAACAGTCGACTCATGGGAATTTGAGCTATAATAAGGGCATTGTGTTCGAATATATTTAAAACAACCTGACAATTATGAATGAAACATAACTTTATATAGCGAAAGTATAAATCATTCTGAGCAATCACACAAAATCTTTGAATTATCCCACAAAACACATATAAATACACAATATAAAATATTTTATTGTATCCCATATTAAATAAAAATTAATATAAAATTAATATATATATATGTATAACAAAAAAATATTATAAACTTACCATCTTTCTTCAACTTGTCCTTCCATTTTAATATCCGGTATATTTGGAATTTTTTTATTTAAATATGCTGATGATATTTTAAGCAATGATTCGCTATATTGTTTTTCAATTGCTGAACGTTTAATTGTAAATTGTCGTATATCTTCCAATAAATCACATTCATGTTGATTTTTTAATTGTAATTTTGTTATTTGTTCAGCATGCAAACTTTTTAAAAATTTTAAATAATTTCCCTATATTTACAATATGGTTTTCATTTCATTATTTTTATATGATAAATTCAATTATTCCGGGTGTATATAAGAAAAATGAAGAAAAAATAGAAAAAAAAATATTATAGCTATATAAAAAAATTTTTTAATATAAAAAATTTATGAATATTTTTTGTGTTTTTTATTCGATATTTTCTTATTGAAATTTACATACTTATTTATTTTATTATTTAATATTTATAATTCTTTATTTGACTATATTTTATATTTTATTTATATATGTATGCTAGTATATATTAATTCTATCTGTTATATAGTGTATAATGAATTCACTTTCAATAAAAAAATTATTAATAATTAAATGGTTTTTTCGGTTTTAATTTTTTTTTGGATGATCATGATGAATGGTATAAAAAACAAAATTTATTATTATTTATTTAAAATTTTAAATTTAGAAGCTATATAATTAATAATTCAAACATAAATTTAATTATAATCTACAAAGGAATTGAATTATAACAATTTCACAAACGAATAAAATGGCAAAAAACAACAAATGAAAAAAGGCTAAAAATGCCCACAAGGAAATTAAAATTATTAATTCTAAATAAATAAAAACTATCAACATTAAACACATAATATATATATATATATATACAATATATATATACATACTGTTATACAAATATTATTGATTACTAAAGAGACATTATCGATTACAAATATATTTTATTCAATTAATGTTTACTCTATTAAGTTAAAAACGGGTAGAAAAAAATATATAATTGAATTATTGAGCAAGCAAGCAAGCAATATAAAAAAAAACGGAAGCAAATACGAGTATTCAAAGAGAGGAAAAATCCTAAAATAAACTCAATTGTTATTTATTTTATGTTTTTTTTTTTGTTTTATTGTTAATTTTTTTTTTTTAAGAAAAAAACACATCAGAGACTGGCAACCCATATTGTATATATTAAAATTTTTTTCAAATTTTGAGAGTGTATTTTTAGATATAAAAAAAATTAAGATCAACTCAAGTAAAATAATTAATTAAAAATACTTCGTTTTCCAGTTTAATGTTGAATAAAAATCAGTTTTTAACTATTTCTTATGTTCCTGACAGCTCAACTAGCATATTATGCAGAAAAGCGGACTAGCATAAGTGATAGTATGAACGCAAACCAATTTATAAAAAGTGATTTGTGTCTGTATTAAAATTTAAAAAAAATTTTTTTTTGCAATAATTTCTATCTGGTATTAGTAATTGTCTTTTTTTTTTAAACTCAAAATTAGTAAGAAATTTGAGAAGGAAGGAGACAAAGAGGTGAGGTCGAATGAATGGAAAAACTTTCAGAGACTTCGACAGGCTAAATGCCTTTTGAGAAGTTTTGAATATTATTGAAATGGTCGAAAACCGGGTGATTACGGATGTCTTATCAAGCCTATGCGGAAAGAGGGGGCATTTCAGGAACCAGAGCATAGTGGATGATTACCACTGCAAATTTTGTGGGGTAATCGGAGATGAATTCAGTGCATCTTCTATTGGAAAATGTGGAACTCTAGTACACAAGAGCAGGGGAATGCTGGGTATAATTAAAATTACATTCAAGAGGGGGGGGGGGGGGGGGGGGTGGCAAAGATTTCTTATTTAAAATTTTCCATTACATAAAAGTATTATAGTGTTATCTATTTAAATATAATCGAATTTACTTGTAATTGCAAGCACTTTTTCAACTATTTACAAAAATATTTAAAGTTTAAATGTAAAGTTTAACTATGTTAACACTAGTTTAGATTAGATTTAGATCTAAAATGGAAGGGTTTGTAATTTCTTTAGTTTTTTTCAGAAATAGCAAGAATTTCCATTTTCCCATTCTAATGCAAAATATATAATTCTGGAGGTGAAATCAATATTAACAATTTTTATATTATCTCAATACACTGAAAAATTGCATACTTTTTGGGGTTCATATGAACAAAATACTGTTACAAACTTGTTATATAATCAATCAAAATATAATTCTATTTCATACCATTGTAATCAGCATTGTCTGGCTAATTTTAACATAAAAACTGGAATTGAAATTTTTTTAAATTAGTATTTTTAAAATTAAAAATTCAATTTTGAAAAAAAATAAGAATTTTCACTGCGATATACTCAATTGACTCAAAAAATGTAAATATTCAAAAAAATAGTTTTCAATCAAAAAAAAAAATTAATTATAACATGTGATTTAATTGAATAGAAAATTTTTGGATTTAAAATAGAATTTTTGAGTAAAGCACTCATCATGACATCAATATATAGTTATATAATTCATAAAAGAAGTTCAATCAAAGCGTTATACACTTACATATAATAGAACACATATTTTTTACTATATAAAAAATTCAGATAGTAAGAGAAATTAGATTATGTATACATGTAGTAAAATAATTTTAGAATGAATTATGTAGTGTTATACAACATTGAAAAGAGTTATACAACCACTTACATTACATACGTACATATACATATATATTCAAATCAAATTAAATAGAGTGCATTCTTATATAAAATATTTTAATGTTCAATAAATAAATGAAGAGGACAGAAACACTGATATACATATATTCAGGTAGTATATGTAATAGTAATAGAATAGGTAGAATATTAATAAATTTAATTAAAAATCTTTTATCTGATATTAAATTTTATTATTAAATTTACCTTTATCATTTTGAAATCTCTAGAAGATCTTGAACTTCTACGAATGTAATACATATTCGAAATTATCGTAAAAAATTGTTTCACTGTTTTCTTTTTTTATGCAAATTTTTTTTTTTTGATGTTAAAGCTTGACTATAATACAACAAATTTGATTTTGTACATTTTTCATTTAAATTATTTTGTTTAAATATGTATTTGTTTAAGGAATATAATAAAAGACACAAAATACAGTAAAAAAATTATACTTAGATTAAAATTTTAGAAAAATTAATGAAATTTTCATTTATTTATTGAAAAATAAAGTTCTAATTAATAAAATATTAAAAAATAAACGAAATTATAGCATGCATCACATGTTGATTAGAATATAAGAAATTCTTTGATATTTATAAAAAAACTGAAAGCCTTCTGTAATTTGTGTAGCACCGAATTTGTTTAATTATAGTATTTCAAGGTTCTATTCATTTAGAATCGGCTACATTTATTAAATTTCACCGGAATATACTTCTAGATAAATTCTAGATTAAACTCCTGGACTTCTAAGCTGTATAAATTATTCTAATTTAAATTAATTTGAAAAACCTGCCAAATACAATTTACTCAAGTTGAATATATTCGGAATTGCGTCTACAATGCATTAGAAACATTGTATCATTGTATCAATGAAATGTGAACAAAAATATTTGATAATGGTCAGAATTTATTTGATTTTGTGTGTGCAATATTATTAACACTGAAATATCTGTCAAATTATGTATCCAAAATTTTTTCTCACTTTTACCCACAACTTTGAGATTAAATGACTATACTTCGATTAATATTTGACGGTAATTAAATTAAACAATGAAGATTCTCAATAAAATAGCAACCAAATTCGATTTAGGCGTATTCTGTTAGTATAACAGCCAGAGAATTTCCTGAATTTTGAAATGGTTTGTTAGAAATTATGGATTTGTTAAAGTAGTATAAGGTGATTTTAAAAAAAATTTCATGAAAATTCTACTTTTCACATTTCTTAGTTGCATAATATAACATTTATTTTAAGAGTATAACAGTTTATTTCAATCAAACTAATTATTTTTTTAAGCAACTTACGAATTTTAATAACGCATTTATTTTGGTCGAATTTACCTCAAAATTTCTGAAACATTTTGTATTTTTCAAAGTCGTTTTGTATTCTATGCGATTATTCGAATAAATTATATTTTTTATCGATATTACGAATAAATAAAATTGATTTATTATAAATAATTGCATGCTAATTATTTTTTAATCTCGTCTATACATATGAGTTAATTTAGTTTGCAAATCATGTCAAATCAAGGTCAAATAAATTATGTTTTTTTTTTTAAATTAAAATATTTTTTATCAAAAGACAACGAATAAATTAATTAAAAGATTTCTAACTTAAGTAAATTAAATAATCTGCTTATAAGTATTTGAAATTACGATTAGCACTTTTATGTTTTTTTTTTTTTTGAATTTTTCCTACATAGTATGTAAAACCTCTATCTCTATCTTATCGTAATCCAAAAAAGAAAAATACCAATGTATGAGATAACATTTCAATTAATAAAATATGTAATATAATAAAGTCAATAATATTGACAAATTGATAAAGTGTAATATACAACAAAAAGTAACTCTTTTTTCTTATCAATATTGTGGTAACATTGATGTCACAAAGCTCAACATAATTATTCATGTACCTATATAATAAATTTGTATATCAATAGTTATCTTTATAATCATACGAGTACATGATAGTCCAATTCTAGCTGCGGAATCACCTCCAGGTGATTCCGCAGGGTTTATTTTTAAGAAAACAATCGTTCGGGTGGTAACTGGGCGAATTCAGACGATTAGCTTTGGAGGGTTAAAAAAAATCGGATTGAAGAAATACTATTTCACGAATATTCATTCTTGCTTCAAAGCTGTTGAAGCTACAAAAATAAGTTATTCAGAAGTTTTCTTAATTGATACATAACAATTTGCCGATTATTGTCGTCAGACTTATGCTGTTTTCGTGTTATAGTCATTCAAACATAAAATTTTGAGTTAAAAATCTGAAAATTTTTAAATGAACGCTAATTACATTATCCTCTAAAACATTGTTACGCATAACATTCATGGCATTCGTTCTATTTCGCTGGAAAAGTGATAATTTATGTATACAATTTTTTCGATGCCTATAATAAAACGACTATATTAAAGAAAAATCAAAGACTCAAACCTTTATTTATACTTTACAATCCCCGAGCATATTAAATACCAGAACCGAACTACCCTGTATATTAAATTTTATTACTATATTTCATGGATATAATCTATGTGATATATAGTTAAAATACAAAGTTAGTATAACAGAATTAGAAAAAATAAAAGATTGTTTACATAAGAATATAGTTAAGTAAATAAAACCTTAATGAATCCAAACAAATTTAATGCGATAAATTAAAAATATAATAAAGCGATTATAAATAAAAATCACAATTTAATTATATTAATAAAAGTATATAGAAAATATCAAATGATATATATACAAAATAATAATATATATGATATACTTCTTATACAATAATAGGTTTCCAGCCCCTGTCTCTATATAATATAATATCAAATAGACACTATTATATTCAAACTGTTTTGTATATATATAAAAGACAGTTTGTGTAGAATACTAAAAAAAAAAATAATCAATATTTTTTATTAATATTTTCTGTGTTTTCTTTCATTTCCTAGTTGATTTCTTTAAATATTTTATAACATGTGCAGTGTATAGAGGATACCGCACATACACTATTTTTTTTTACCCATCATCACATTTATGATGTTTTTTTTTAATCTAAGAGGAAAACTGGTGGAGAGAGTAGGGAGCACTATGGTTTGGTAATAATATTGAAAGCTTTATAATATATTTTTTTCTTCTTATTTTTTGTATTTTTCGATTTTTTTATTTTTTTTTTTGTTTTCAATGAATTTCCTTTCATTTTAATTTCATTAACTTTTAACATAGACAACTTTTATTTGAAAGGAAAATGCAAAATAAAATATAAAATAAAAAAAAATTTATAGGACATTTATTAAAACACTGTACTAAATACAGTATTGTTTAGGCATATAAAACACCTGTTAAATATTGTTATATAGATAAAAAAGATATTGTTATATGCTTTCGAATTGTATAATTTACAATTACAATTTTGAAATATCTAATCATAATTGAATAATTAAGTTCTGTTTAGGATTATTAAAAGTTTAGATTAAATTTTTTCGAAAAAATTGTAACATTCAGTATAATTTTAGCAATAATTTCGAAACTAAATGAGGTAAATCAATAAAATTTTGAAGAAGTATTCATAAAACTTTGAATTAATTATTATAAAAATGTCAATCCTAGTTTAGTAATAAATTTTGCAGGTTTTTAAAAATTAAATGTTTTTTTTTTTTTTTGTATTTTTACCGTAACTTTGAAAATATTTGAGTTATATTAACAAAATTTTTTACAGAATATCGAGTATAGTGGAGAAACTTTGAATTTCACATAAACTCAAAAAATAAAAAAAATTGACTTACAACGTTTTGCTTACAACTGCAAAATTTTTTATTATTCGATTTTTGTTCACTATTTTAAAGTGCGATTTTGCATAATAACAATTTATTTAAATTTACATATATGTATATTCTCTTTTTCATATTTTAACGACACTGCTCCGAAAATATTATCGAAAATGGACTAGCATGCAATGAATAAGACAGCTTATGTTTAAAACAATAAGTAAAGCATAATCTTCATAAATTTTCTAGAAAATGCAGTACGTTCTATATTGGAAAAATGAAATTCCCTGAAAAACCTTATCTTTTAAGAATTCTTAATTTTATATACTACAAATGAACTTTTGAAAAAGCAAGCAATTGTGAAACTGGCCTTTGACATATTCGTCGAAATGGTAACGTATAGTAATTATTACACCTCTTTGCCAATTTTTCTGTAAGTGTTTTAGGTACGGTACAGAGAATATGAAAGTCGTGTTGGAGCAATTTAAAGGAGTAATTACATAAGTAAAAGTAGAAGGTGTCAAATTTATTACCACCACCTCGCCAGTTAAGGGTTAAAGATATTCTTCTGTTAGCATTTATTCATATAGAGATATGTGCCTAAATGTTACTCAAAAATATTCCTAAATATCTTGACCTCACTGTTGTATCAAAAGAAATTCATATTAAAGTTTAACAATAAAATAAAATTTATACAATTATTAATAAAATATAATTTAATTATTGATATTATAGAAATAAAATAAAATTAAAATAAAAAATAAACAAAAAACAAAAGCACACAGGAATCATTTTTTTTTTTTAATTATTTTTTATTTTGTATTGCATAAATTTTTTATACAAAATAATTTTATTCCATTAGTTTTGAAATTGTTTTTTCAAAAAAAAAAAAAAATATTCATATATACAAATATACACTGACAAAGGTATATAATATTTACTGTTTGTTTGTATGTGTATTTTAAATAAATATATATATGTGCATTTTTTAACATATTAAATTTTCATAGTGTATAGAAAAATAAAGAATATTAAGAAAAAGAAATTCAACTTATTTAAAGTGTTAAAGATCATAAAAATATGCAGAATACAATTATGGGTTACGTACAGTAACTTGCTATATATATATATGGTGAATTAAAAAGGGGTGGTTTATACTACATATACTTATGTATATATAAGGGTTAGGTTTTCAGGTTAAGTATGAAAGTAACTTTTCTATATATATAATCAGTATATATGTATATATTTGTAAACAGAGTGTCCAAGTATATTCTTCCTAATATTTTCATATTTAAGCAAAGGTAAGCTCAGTATATCAGTTTTCATATCTTGCAATTTATCAGTTAATGATATTGCATTATTATTAGTTAAAGCAAAAACTAATGAAAATATTTTGCTTTTTTTATAATTTTCCTAATTAGTTTTGCAACTGCTATCTTTACCAATCTAAGCAACTATACAATTACAAACTGTTATAATAAATTACAAACTGTTTGATTGCTTAATTGTATTCAATTATAAAGTGCATGTGTTTGCGCTTAAATATAAAGCTATGGAATATTAATAATCAGTCTAACAGTTCTAAAACTAAAAATTGAATGTTTCCCTTAGCCTTAGCACAAATATAGCGTGCCACTATAGAAAGTAATTATTATGATTTTGCCAAATTCATTGTATACTTGTTTTATTATCCAATCCCTAGTTATAAGGTTTGCGGATTATAAATTTGGCTCCTCATATATTAATTTTATTAAAATCTTCTTCTTCAAAACCAATTCTATTACCATATCCTCGAGCAGTAGAGATAGAATACCACCGTGTCTCGGACATTCTGTATAAACTATATATATATACATATATATTTTAAACATAAACAAAGGAGGAAGATGAAATTTAACAGAACCCAAAAAAAAAAAAAACAGGAACAATTTAAAAGCAACCATTTTTTTTCCCACAATATTAAACTTTAAAATTCACAATAACGTTAAACTTATATATGTATAACGGTAAAACGTATATAACGCAAAACAATTTTCTATTTGGAATTTTCGGATGATTTTTTTACAAATTTGATTAAATTCAAGAACTTACCTTACGCGGTGGGGGCTGCATTTTTATAATTTATTTAATTTATTTTTTTTTGATATTTTTTTTTTTAATTTTTAAATTTTTTTTAACTAATTTTTGCTTAATTTTATAAAATTACTAGCAAAAATGAAAACAAAAATAAATTTTTTTTTAATTAAATTTTTCAATTTCAATTTTTTTATGAATATTTTTTATTTTTTCTATATATATACTTATGTATATATATTCAAAACTTATTAAATTATTGCCAATTATTAATTATATAAATCGCATTTATTTATTTATTTAATTTATTTTGTGATAAATAGCCTTGTTAGATTTAGATGCCAGAACAAAACAAAAAAACAAAACTAAATTTTTTTCCCCAAAATATTTGCTGCTTGATTTTGCTTCTTTTAGCATATATATTAAGCCTTAATTTGGATATATATGCGGTAATGCTGTTATTTATTATTATTTGTATTTTAAATTTTAAAATGAATTAAGCTCTAGCTCTACGTTAAAAAAAACAAAATTAAAGAAGAAATAAAATTTTATTAAGTAAAAAGCAAAAGAAAAAATTTATTAAATTTTGCTCTTGAATAAATTTTTTTTCTTTGCTTATATATATGTGTGTGTATATAGCAATTAGCATTATATAGCGTATATATTGTTGTATATATAGCATATTATAAAAGTATTTTTATTAAAAAAAAATTAATAATATAAATTGTTTTTATTTTTTTTTATTTGTTTTGATTATATATTTGTCACATAAATTTAATATTATATTTATTTAATTTGAATGCAATTTTAATGTGAATAAATATATATATATATACTTATATGCGTGTTTATATTGTATATATATACTCGTATAACTACATATATATATTAAAGAAATTATACTATTAATATATAAGAAATTATAACCATATGTGCGTATTATAAATTTAAGTAGCATATATTATTAAAAATTTATTAGTATATATGATTGTGACTATATATATATCCGGGTATATATTATTATATAAAATTGTTATATATATATATATATATATATATATATATATATATATATATGTATAGTGTACTTGTACACAATTGATATATATATTGTACAGGATAATGTGCATAATTTTTAAAAATAGCCCAGCCTAGATAAAGGTCCTTTTATTATTATAAAACAAAAACAAAAGTAATTTTTATATATTTTTTTTTGAAAAATTCAATTGTTTCATTTAAAATGGGAAAATGATAATTTTTTTAATAAAGTTTGTAAATTTGAAAAATTAATTAAATTTTAAAATATTTTTTTTTATAGATTTGGAAAAAATGAGAGAAAATTAAAACTAAATGGATATTTTGAAATAGTACAGAAAATCAAATGGACACTTTCAACGAATTTGTTATATATACGTTTAAATTGAAGCTAATTATTTTTAAAGCTGTGAAAATCATTTTAAATAGGTCTGATTTCAATATTTCAGCGGTAAGATTTTAGTATCAAAACTTATATTATTCTGTAATATCCTCATTCTGCTAATTAATTTAATTTATATTATTTTTAGGATAATTAAGATATAAAATGGAGGAAATAATTACTTTGACAGATTTCTCAGGTGTCATCTTATCCAGAATAAATTCTCTTTAAAAAAGATTATGAATTAATTGAGATTTAAGTTTAATATTCAGGAAATAATGATATTATATATCATTTATACTATTATTGTTATACAATCTATTACTATTATATTATTCATATATGTATACATAATTGTTAAGAAATACACAAACAAATTGGCAAAATTTAGTATATCTAGTATATTTAGTATATTTAGTGTATTTAGTATATTTAGTATATCTAAAACTGGGAATTTTGTATAATAATTATTATTTAAATAATTTATTAAATTAAATTTTGAAAATAGTTATTATTATTGTCTTAATTATTAAAACCACAATTGATTTTCTTATATAAATATGTATAATATATGATTTTTAGTATAAAAAAAAAATCACTGTCACTCACTGAAACTTACTTAGAAAAATAAGACGATAAAAATCTTTTATATTAATTTTATAATAAATAGGAATACCTATATATTAAACATTGAAATATACAAAATTAAACTAATTTGAATTTTTAAAGAACAAAATTAAACTAAATACCATTAATATTATTAAAGATTAGATTAAAAAAGTGAATTTTATAGATTTTTCATTCTCCTACATATTTCTCTTTCTCTTCTCTCATTTTTTTTTTCTCTCTTTTATTCTCTATTTTTATAAAACGTTACGTTGTTCGTGTTTCCTCCCTCGTTCTATCTCTCTTAGTTAATTCAAAAAAAAAAACAAAAAAACCGAAGGAATTGTAGTTTTTTTTTATATACTTTCGTATATATACCCATATGTACGTACAATCTTGTAAACTTGTAATATATATATAAGTATTAATATGCATATTTTTCTAAATATTATGCAAAATACAAAATATGTTACATATTAATTAAATATATGACATATTGATATACACATTTATATTCATTGTAAAATATAATAGATCCCACTATATATACCCATTATATATACCCATATAAAATAGTATTAAATTTATATATACTATATATAATAGTATATTTTACATACATATGTACAAAAATATATTCTTGTAAATTTCAAATTATGTAACAATTAGCAAAAGTGTAGAAGAAAAAATGAAAATATAGGAAGAAAATAAGAAAATTTTAATGTTCCCTATTACATATAATAAATTAATAAATATTTATGTTATACAATATATATATAATTATTATATTAGTATAATACTTTTGTATATATTTTTATTTTTTTCAAAATATTTTTAATATTATTTTAATAAATTTATTGGTATATATTAAAGTTTTTCTCATAATTATTATGTTATTAATTATTTATTATTATTATTAAATAAGAATGATTTATTTATAATTAATATTCACATAATAATAATGAAATTTATTTAAGAATATCATTGTTACTTATGCTCTCTATTTTTCTAACCATTTAATTTTAAAGTATATTATATAGTAAATTGAAAATATTTATTAAATTTTAAACTATTTATTATTATTATTATTATTGCTATTCTAATAATTATTTACTAAATTCATTGTTATATTTTTAATATAATAATTGTATATCATACTGTTATATTACAATATTATAATATTTAATAAGCACAAATATCAAATTATGAAACGTTTACTATATATTATAAATTAATAAAAATAATAAAAAATAATAAGAATATAGCACTGCATTTAATTTGGACAAGAAAGAATTTTCAATTTCAAGCCATTCATTTGAGATATTTGCGATACTCGTAAAGAATATTTCACTTTATTCGTATATACAATTTAATATTAAACGAAATTCTTATTTTTTTGTAATATTTTAATATTATTAAATTTGTATACTTGTGAATCTTATAAGAAAAATATTATTACTTGTGAAAACAAGTGAAACAAAAAAATTCAATTCACATTTTACAATGCATTGACAAATATTTGTAAACAGGTTTATTGATAAGATTAATTAAAACGGACAAATTTAAGCGAATTTGTTTTATTCCCATTGTATATTTAAGTCATGTAAAGGTTTCCAGATTTTTTCAACAATATTTCAACAATCTAAATAGCAATAAAAATGATATATTAAAAATAATAATGTAGCAATAAAATCAAATAAATAAAATTATTTTATTTATAAAATTTATTTGAATATTTTAAATGGCAATCAAACCTAAACAGCCTAAATTAAATATTAGTAAGTTTTTGGGTAAACATTAAGTTTTAAATTTCATTTTCAACAATTTTTATTTAAAATTTAAATTTCAAAACAATATACTAAAAATTGTATATTAAAAATTGTATACTAAAAATTTTTGCAATATTTGTTATATTACAAAATTTTACTATTAATTTTTTAAGGCCATTAAAAATTTTTTTCATATTTTAGTTCTGTGCTAAATTAATTTGATTTAGGCTGTTTTGTCTTATTATATATATTGATTGCCACCGATATATATACGAATATTAAATTTATAGCACAATAAAATTTTATATATATTTATTATTTATTCTCAATATTTATTATTTATATTTTAAATTTTAATTATATTTATTATTATTATTATTATTAATGTTTATTTATATTTTATATAATAAATAATTAATTAAGATTTAAATATATTATACATTTTATATATATATATATTATATTAATATGTTAAGAGTGTTATAAATGTATATTTATAATGTTTGTATACAAGTATATATATGCATGTGTGTATATTTATAATATTGTATAATAAATTGTAAAGAAGTAAAAAAAAAATATATATTAATTATTTTTAATAATGAATAAAAGAATTTCATTCTTAAACATTTTACATATAGAGCAAATTCATTTTATTTATGCATTTGTTTTATTTCTTTCGGAGTTAACAATTAATTAAAACAATTAATTTTATAACATTTATTAAATTTCATTTATATTATATATATATAAAAATGACAACAATATTTATAATGCCTAAACTAAAAAACAACAAAAAATTTAAATATAAAATAAATACTATAAAGAAAATACAAAAATTAAACGCACTTCAAAAAAATTCATTTTTTTTAATTAATTGAGAAAATTTTTTCAGTAAAATTATTTATTAAGGGTTTTTTTTATTATTTAAATTTTTATTATTCAAGTTTTTAGTTTGCTTTATTTTTTTGTTTTTCACTTAAAAATTTAATTATAATAATAAATTTTAATATTTTAAATTAATTAAAAATTTTTTTAAATTGTGATTTTTTTTTTTTTTGTTTTAAAAATACGAGCAAAAATAGTAAGTAAGAATTTTTCAAAAAAAAAAAAAAACTTCAGACAGAAATTTTTATTATGAATGTACGTATGAATGTTCCATAAACATATGTATGTATGTGCATATGTATATCATATAACAAATAGTATTAGTATAGTTTTATTTAAAAAAAAAATATATATATATATATATATATATATATATATATTGTACATTAGCACTTTAATAAAATAGGAAAGTAGAAGAAGTAGAAGAAGAATAAGAAGAAACAAAAACAAAAATTCAACAATAACAACACTAAATAACAACAATAAAAAGTATGTAAAAAAAAATATTTTTCAGGATTCTCTATTTTTTTTTTCTCTTGATTTTCTCTTTTTTTTTTTTTTTCTTGTTAAAGGACTTCACTTTTTTATTATATTATTTTTTATTTTTTTTTTCATATAGAATATAAAAATTTTTTTTTTTTTTGTTCAATGAAATTATTCACTATTGAAAATATTAAAGTAAAAGATTTAAAAAAAAAATATATGAAAAATTTAAAAAAAAATTTGTTGTAGAGTTGAAAAGGGAGAGAAAAAAAAATTCCTTCCTTTTTTGATTTTTAAAATTTTCACTTCAAAAAAAAAAAATTTTTCTTTTTAATTTTCACTCTTATTCCATTAATCGAAATCAAATTTAATTTTTTTTTGTTTTCTTCATTTGAAATTTTAACAAATCTAAATTTTCTCTTATTCTTTCAATTTTCCATATAAAATATAATTATAATTTTTTATTTAATTCAATTTAATAAAAAAAATTTTCTTCTATTTCAAATTTTATTTTTTTTTTTTATTAATATAGTGTATATTATGTATTTTAGTGTGTTTATGTATGTGTGTGTGTGTGTGTATTGTACAAAAAAAATTCTTAATAAATTTATTTTAAAAAATAATTTTTTTTTCTAACACTTTTCTTAGCCATTTCCTGAAATTCACGACTGCGAGATTCTTTGAATACTACTGAACAAAAATTTTATTTAAAAAAATTTCGGAACAGAAAAATATAAAAACAACCAAAAAAAAAAAATGAAGAGATAATAAAACAAGGTGAGCGTAAGAGAGCTAGAGAGAGAGAGAGAAACGAAAAGAGAAATTAAATCGCGAAAATAAGAAAATGACAATATTTAAAAACATGAAAAAGTTTATCGATTTGCTATTTCTATTATGTACAAATATATGTATATAATAAGTACATAATGAATATCCACATGTGTATATAATGTGTGTAATATGTACAGTGTATACGCACATATAATATACCTAAATAAATCGCAAGGAAAATGTGAAAGAAAATAGAAAAAAAAATTATGATGTACTGAAAAAAAAAAGAGAAAAAAAATGTTGGAAAAACCTCGTTTCTTTCTTGTTTTGTTTTTCTTTCTTTCTCTATTTCTTTCTTTCATTTTTGTTTTTATTATTTTGACGGGGACTTTGATAACTCAACTCACCCATTAATCAGTAGTAGATAATGTTAAGAATTTCAAAAAAAAAAACAAAAAAAGCTTTTTTTGTTTTTGTTTATTACCATCTCTCTTTCTTTCTTTCTTTCTTTCTTTCTATAAATACAAATTTAATTTTACATAAGGGTTGTGCTTTTTATGTAAAGGAATTTTTTATAAAATGTATGGGTATGTAATAGAACTTTCAGAAATATTTAAGAGATTTATGTGCGATTATGTTAAGAAAATTTAGACACCACTATATAACAAAATTTTTCATTATTTTAGATTTTTGTATTTTTTTATATTTAGAAAATTCAAATTATAAATTTCAATTACCGTCAGAGTCGGGGAGGGTCCTCCAGCTCCGTTCGGCTCCTTCAAAAAATCTACAAAATCTACCGTGAGAGATCCGTATTTCTGGTGTTCGTATTTCTATATTTTTTTTTTTAGTAAGCGCGGTTATTTTGCGAGGGATCCCCACATATACTCAATACTATGTATAATAGTGACTTTAATTGTGTCGAATGTTTCACAATTAACAGCAGGGTATTTGAATCGTTTATACACCCTCGTTCTTCCCGTAAATATTTGTCAATTTTAGGATTGATTAAGATTTTGTGGAATACGTTGAGAATTGTGATAGTTCTTCAGTTACTGCATTATCCATAAGGTTCGCCATTTTTCGAAAGCTTTGCAACAATACCTTGTGTCCATGCATCAGGTACTCTTTCATTTCTCAATATACTTCCGTCAGGATTCGAAGCAGAATATCTGTATTGTGTTCGGATCAGCTTGAAACAGCTCTACAGGTATCCCATCAGGACCCGAAACCCTATTTTTCTTCATTTTGACGGTTTCTGGTTGTTTCTGATGACTGATTTTCAATATTTACTTGCAAAAAATTACACGCTCTCAATTTAATAAAATCGCTCTTAATTTAATAAAAGCATATTTAATAAATAGTAAACCGCATTTAGCAATCTATAAGCATATAGAAATACCTGGAATGAATATTTCAACCCTGCCAAAGTATTCTACTACATTTCCATTTACATAATAGATCATTTTCTTAAAATCCTACATAAAAGCTTTCTTATTTAAAAAAAAATTCCTTTCTTTTTGACATTTCCATTTTCTTACAAACATATACACACAAATGGAAACATTTTTCACACAAACACAAACGCAGATATACGCATGAGTATTTTTTATTTGCAAAAACAAAAAAAAACAGAAAGGAAGAATTAAAAACTCCGTCTATATAATTGGGTATGTGTGTGAGTAAACCATAATGTAAATTTTATAGGTAAAAATAATTATGAATGGAAAAGCGTGACATTTAAAATTGAAAACAAGACAAACAAAAAACGAACAAAAAAAAGGAAAGAAAAAAAGTATACAAAAAAAAATAAAAATTAAATAAAAAGAAAATTAAGAAAAATTTTCAACGAATTTTCGAAAATTGGCTTTAATACATTTCAATTTGCCTTATTGTTTAAACAGGGTTGTTTTATTATGAAAAACAGCTGCCAGGGTTGTAACGTAATTGTATAAATAAAAAGTACATTATTATTTATTTTTTAATTAAATCAATATTCTTCAAAAAATTCTCCAAACATAATATCCTCCAACAAATATTCTTCTATAATTTCAATAATTTCTCTAACTACTGTTATAATCGACAATTTAAATTGCCAATTATAACTGCAGTTAGAGAAATAAAGACTTAAATTGATGGGGAGATATAATATTCCAAACGTACAACACATCAAGAGTTTAACGCTTCTAATTAATCTTATGATACTCCTAACCGTACTGCAGGGAATACGAACGGGATTTGGATTTCACAATGACTTCCTGTGTATAATATGATAAAATCTCCCGGAATAAATCGCAATTTTAATAGAATTGCTTTTAATAGGTCCTAAAATAGATCCACCTTTGGGTGGCGGTACATTGTTACCCATACCTAATCTAATCTGTTCAAATTTGTTATAAGGATAAGTCTCGAAGAAGCACTTATGGCAAGGTAGATGGAAGAGGGGCGGGAACAAAATAGATCAACCACTTGGGTCACCATGTATTTCTACCCCATATCTAATCTAATCTAATGTAAATGTTCTATCAGGGCGTTGCAATCAGGAGTGTTATGCAACTTTTATGCGGAATTTTCTAAGTTTGGAGTGTTATACCCCCTAGAAAAGGAATGGTTGATATATCGCTTGCATAAATATAGGCAAATATTTGAAACTATTCTGTTTCTTGTAAAGTTTACTGCGAAAAAAATTTATTTTATTAATATTATTAATTTTAAATTAGGCTTTCTATGAAAATTTCATTTATTAAAAAAAAAATCATTTTAAGTACCAAGGGAAATAAAATGCATAGGTATTTTATTTTATATAAGGGTATAATACAAATGTGTATGTATGTACATGTTTATATGTTAAGAAATATGTGCGCAGCTCCATATTTTTGTATTGTTTTTCTGTTATAAAGAAAATTATAGAGATTCGAACTAAATTTTCCATTTTTTCAATTAATTTTTTTTTTTTTGCCGAATGCGAGAGAAAACGAAATTTTCATTTTCGTTTTGATTTTTATTTTCGCCCTTTATTCATATGCTTTATCAATTTAATATTTTTGTTTTTTTTTCTAGTTCTACTCTCTTTCTCTACATTATATTAATCTAACAGAACAGTGGCTTTATGATTTATATACCCGGAGGATGTATTTAATGATTTTAAGTTCTGACTCTTGTCCTTTATATTTAAGCATACATATTACAATATTAAATATACTCGTACACACAAATCTACATATACAATATAATAACATGTTACAATATTATTATTATAGTTATTATTATTATCATTTATTATTAAAATTGTTTTGTTGTTCCTTATGACTGACTTTCTCTTCTTTTCTGCTCTAAAAGATTGTATACCTACCTACTGACCGAGTAAAATATTTTATCGTATATGTGCATATTTTAAATATGAAAGTTTGAGTTTTTTTTTCATATATAAATGAGAATGGAATGAGGTCATTTTATATTAAATAATATGCTGGGAGATAATTGAAAAATTATCTCAGAGATTGGAGGATTCAAAATTCTTAGTATGAAAAATTTTCTTTTTTTTTTTTTGCTTGAAATTTTCCTGTTATATGCAAGTTAATAGATAAGGATCAAAATTATTAGATATATAAAGGTATAGAATTATTGTTATACCCACATTTTATACCAACTACCAGGTACACATGTGAATTCATGTGAATTATATAGATAATTAGCATAATTTTTTGAAGCTAATATTACCTATATTTTAAAGTTATAAATATAATATAGTCGGAAGT